GCCACTAAAGTGCCACCCTTGAAGCACTAAGAGCTGCCTGCGGTAGCCCTGACCTCTAGCCGTGCCTCCGTTACAGGTGCTGAAATCCAGTGCGCCTGATGGGGAAGGCTGGCTTGAAAGATTCTTGGGGAGAGGCAGACCTGAAAGCCCGTGGCTGGTCCAGTAGCATTCGCATTCGAGATGGAATTCTGTTGCTTTCGTAACATTTAGTGGAGCTGCTCTTGGGAAGGGGGCCTGCTTGGGTGGGCATTTTGCTCGCTCTGCTTTCCCTGGAGAAGGGGCTTAGTTTCAGATCCAACTCAAACGGGCTACTTTTGCCCTGCCAGCATTTTAGTGAGTCACTGGAGCACTTAAGGATGTCTTGTTTGATCATGGAGGGGAACTTGGATGACCCTGATAAAATCTTAAGTGCAACTTAGTTCAGTCCGCATGAATGTCTTCCAGACGAGAGTCAAGCCTTGGTGGGGTTTCAAGAAGGGGGTAGTGTTGGCTCCCCTGTCCCCTTCCTTCGTTTGCTTAAACGGGGCTGCAGAGTGACGGTTGGCGTTTAAAATAACTGATTAGTTATGAACCTGAACAGTGGAAGGGTTACAGTTCAGCTGAATAAATTACCCTAAAACCAAAGTGGAAGCCTTGCGAGCACGGAAACAGCTGCATGGGAACCGCGGGCACCTTTCCGCTGAGTTCTCATCCCACCTGAAAGTTGGGTTCACACAACCTGCTAGAGTGAAAACTGGAATAGGCTAGCCTGGGCTTAAGTGGCTAAAAGTCACTTGTGGCTAAAAGTCACGTGTGCATTCAGGAAAGCAGGTCTTTCAGTGAACCCAGGATTAGCACATTATGCAAAAACCGCCTAAGAGAACTGCGAGGAGGTGGAAGAGGCATCAGTGTTTTAGTCATTGCTCAGAAAACGCTTTTCTAGATTCTTGTTTCTGTCTTCCAACAATTAATTCTCCCTCCTTCCTTTACTCTCCCCTTTCTGGTTACTTTTCGTTCCTCCTCCCTGTCTGCTGCCTCACTGACTGGTTTGGCTGTGCTGGTGCTGCTTACTGGAATGGGGAGGCGGTGGGGTGGGAGGGGGAACGAGCCTTTTCCACGCCAGTCCTCTTGGCTGGTTCCTGAACATATCCATCCTTCTCTTTGCAGGTGAGCAGGTATAACTCACAATGATTGATCTCTCTCTCACACACCCATGAACATGCACACACATGTGCTTTAGTCCAGTTGTGCTGCTCCCTGTTGCTCCTGTACAGTGTTGTTCAAACTTGGCAACTTTAAGATGTATGGACTTCAACTCCTAGAATTCCCCAGCCAGCACCCAGTCCACACCTTTTAAAGTTGCCAAGTCTGAAAAACACTGCTTCTGTAGGTCTTCTGCACAGGAGACCTTCCTGGGCTCTGCATCAGCTTCTCCACGGGAGATTGGTCTGTCCACCTCTAACCCTGTCCTGAGCCACCACCTACCTTCATTTGATAGCAGGCTGCTGCTAAATCTCTCCTTGAATTTACTTTGTTTTGCCTTTTTCATATAAAGGAAGTGTAATTCCATCCAGTCTAAGTGCTGGAGTTTATCAATTCCTAATTAAATTGTTGAAAATCTCTTCGGGGCCCTATTCCTTATCAACTTGTGATTTCTCCCCTTCCTTTCTTTTTCTTCTTCCATTCTAAGTCCTGATTGTCACCGCGCCAGTTTTTGCAAGGGTTAATGACAGCTGATGAAAAATATTGGCTGTCCTCAGACTGAAGGTACGATCGTATGTCATGTCTGCAGGCCACTCTTTTGCAAACCAAGCAGATTTTTTTCCCCTTGTGGCAAAGGGCCAGGAATTTTAATGAAAGAAAACATCAAAGTTGCAGAAGAAATGAGAATATTAGTCAAAGAAGATTTGCAGGGCTGTTCCCTGATAACCTTCTGCTAACAGGCTTCAGAGCTATGTGGGAGCAACTTAAATAAACATCTGGACACCAAGTTTAGTCATCCCCAGTGACAAAACCCAGACAGATCTTGTGGGCTTGCAATAATAAATATCTCAGGGAAGCCTCCATGAATCAACTTTAAATCCCTGTTTTCAATTATTCTCATTTTAGAAAGATATCAGAGTTAATTATCCATGGATAGAACCTCCTCTGAAGTTTATTGAATTTGAGTTTGGCTTTTTTTTTATGCTCAATTCCCATTTTTATTCAGATCATACTTAATTTTGTTTGCTTCCAAAATGGTAAGCTGCTTGCCCTATGAAACGCTTGAATTATTACTGGGAATTTGGTGACACTGTGCTCCCTCTCTCTCTCTCTCCCTCTCTCTCACGCGTGGGTGGGAGCGCGAGGGTGGGAGCGCCGTCACTCTTTCTGGCATGATACAACTCAAATTGGGAAAAGCTGCATCTAGTTAGGCCTCCAGATTCCCAGAATTCTCCGTGACAGCTGTGCTGGCTGGGGAATTCTGGGAGTTGTCCACAAAACCAGGAAGAGGTCAGGATGGGGCTCTCCAAGGTGGTGTTCAGATGTAATGCCTTGACACAAAAGAGACCGAAGATGAAAGAGGGAGGCCTGCTGCTTTAAAGCTGATTCTCACAAGTTGGTAACTTGCCGGTGCTGAATGGAAGGAGGGTGAGTTTGTCACAGCTGAGATTCATCTTGGGGGGGTTCTCCTGCAGGGCAGCTCCTGAAACTGGTTCCTCTCCCAATGAGGTGAGGAGCTTCCGTGGCCAAAGGGCAGCTTCTCAGCCTGCCTGCCCCCTAGCTGCATGACCAGCACCCCCAGGTCACCCCACCTCCTGCCCCCAGGTGGAACTGCATCAGCCCTTGTGAGCGACTAATGGGCTGTTGTTTAGACCCCTCCCTCTGCAGTAGCCCAACCCCAGCTGGTGCTGAAATCACTGCTCTTGGCTTTGCAATGCAAACTAGTATTTTCATGCTGTAAATGTCGAAGCACTCTTGAAAAGAGATTTGTCTGGATTTATTAAAGGCACAGCACCTCCAGGACAGCAGCTGACACTGCTCTTGATAAGGAGGGAAGGAAGAGCCTGAGATTAACCACGTTAAAGGCACTAGCATCCAAGAACTGGTTAAAGTAATGCAGTTAAGTCCTAGTGAAGCACATACAGTAAGTAGAGTATCTTTACAGGAAGCCTGAAGGAGCTCTGCTTTTATCCCATTGGCTGGCGGGGGGAAGTTCTGCAGAACTGGGGAGGCTCCATTGGGGCCCGGATTCTCCTAGGAACCTATAGCTGGCAGAGCAAGAACTCTGGGAGAAGAGGGGGAGATCCGCTGCCCCTCGCTCACACTTTCCCACAGTGCCAGAAGACCTTTGGTGGGTGCTCTTGCGCTGGCCACCTCAGTACCTGTCTCTTTGGGCATTCAGCATAACCAGCTGTTCACAATGCCTGTTAGATGCGCGGCAATTGGCCAAACCAGCTGTTCAGAAGCAAGGCCCCAATCCAGGTGTCGGGCCAGTTTCTTCACTGCCTGGCCGGCAGATGGCAGCAAAGAAGCAGGACACGCTTCCGCAGCTGCCTCGAGGCTGGTGGACGTGGCTGAAGCTGGTCCCCTCCTAGAGCCGGGCACGGAAAGTCTCCTCTCCCGTCAGACTTCTGGTGCCCTTCCTCAGGGAGGGAGGCGTGCGGGGAAAAGCAGCGACTGCCCAGCAGCGACTGCCCTGCCATTTCCTTTTCCCCATAAGTTTGCCTCCTGTCAGCCCTTCAGGCAAGTATGACGTCATACAAGACAAGAAGGCAGACTTTCGGCTTGTTTCTGTTTTGTACGTCAAAACTGTGGGAATGTTTTCCCATCATTTGATTTAATCCTTGTCCCCTACAATAGCCCCAAACATATTTGGAAAGGCGTCCTATTCACCCTTCTGAAAGGCCGTAGCCAGGGAGCAAGGACTGATGGGCTGTGGGGCGGGTGTGGGGGGAGCCTGGCTGGGCCCCATACAGCCCACCCTCTCCTGGAGGGCTCCAGCTGCAGAAGGCCAAGTGGCGCCTGGACGTGGCCTTCACTTGTGGATTGTCCTCTCATGCCAGCATAGGGATTTCATAAAGGTACACGTTTAGAGCAGTGACATCTCTGCCCCCTCCTCTTTCCTCTGTGGGTCTCACCACCATCCTGTGTGCTGTGCCTGGTCCAACATGTGGCACCAAGCTTTGCTAACCCTTCACCAGCAGACCCAGCTGCTTCCACTCAGATTACAATGAAGAGGCCCTCAGGCGCTCTGAAGGCAGAGCCAAGCCCACCCCTCTCTTTGCACTGTGGCCCAACTGCAGTCCCCCAGCATCCTTCCTGCAGTCCTCCTGGCTGGGCCTTCTGGAGCTGCAGCCTCATCCAGATGGCCACAGGGTCCCCGCCTGCCCGGCTGCAGGAGCTTGTGGCTGGCCAGCCTGGAGCCTGGGCTCAGGCACCATAGGAGCCCTAAGGCGCTTTTGCTGGTCATGGGGCATGAGCCCCAAAGACCATTGTTTGGGAAGCCTGGCTAAGCAACCCGTCAGTTAGCATGACTGAGGAATCCTGTGGAAGGAAGATCTGGGAACAATCTGTGGGCTGTATGGCGGAGATTGCAGCAA